TAGTATATATAATTACTGTAACAATGTCGCGATATTAAATAATATAACTTTTTAGTTTATATAAACAACTGAATGACAAGTTGGATTAATGTTATAATTTTGTGTAACTGTTTAGTGTAACTTTTTAGTTTATTAGAACGCATGAATAACTGTTTCATGTATTATAGGACAATTGTAACTGATTGATATAACTGATTAGTGTAATTGTGTTGTTGTAATGTTGATATAAATATAGAAAGAGAAAATATGGAGAGAGAGAGAGAGAAACAATTAGAAAAAATAGGGGGAGAGAGAGAAAGAGATAAAAAAATAAATCAAATCTTTACATATGTACTCAAAGAAAATAAATTATCAATGATGGATAAATAGGGAAATTAGAAGAGAGAGAGCAAGAGATGGAAAGAAAATAGGGGAGAGATAGTGAAAGAGTCTAATAAAATCTTTACATATTAGATTCGATATATAATTGTCAATTAAGAATGTATAATTTAAGGGAGAATATTTAGATAAAATAATTTTAATTTTATTTGAATTTTGTACCTAAGCACAATATATTTTATTAAAATTGAACTTAATAGAGTAAATAACTTATTTATACACTTTTCTTCAAATAAATTTAAAAAATTGTACATATAACTAAAAAACTCTATAATATTTTTTCAGTGTTTAGGGAGGTCAGGGCCCGATGGCCCGCCAGAAAAATCAATAAGGCCAGACACCTTGGCCATGTGCTGTTCCAGCCCGATGCTAAACAAAAACTATTTACACAAGTCAATGAGCTCAGGTTTCTAGTTTCTGCTAGGCTAGCTAGCCCATATCCCAAAGTCGCTGGCTCAGTTTTTTTTTTTTTGGGGGGGTTGGGGGGAGGAATTTAGTGAAATTTTAGAAAATATGAGGGGCGTCTAAATATTTAGGATAATGCATAGGAAAGAAACTCGGAAAAATAACCCATAATTCATATTTTTCGTTAAAAAGAGCCATTTAGTTAAATTATATTTATCTTAGTGAAGGGACAAGATATTTTTGAGGGTCTATCAAGAATAAATAATTTCGACAAGTAACAGTGTCACATGCGCTAAACTATTCACAGCAATATCATATCGGGCTAAAAGAGGTTGGGATGAGGATTACGTGTCGACTTGAGAACAAGGCCTAGCATAATTAAGGGATTAGCATCTCGAACCAAGTAAGGTAAACATGAGCGGTGCTATACAGGGCAACAATGGGCATGAGCCGACCCCCAAATTTTTTAAAAATTTATTATACTTATACTTATATTTATATATTCTAAACATTATATATATATATATTTTTTACTTATACTTATACTTTTGATAATGTAGTCTCAAGAAATCCTAACACACCATCAATGATATAGTTTATTCTAATTTTATTCGGTTCTATGAACAAATAAATTACATTTCTACCTATAATTTTTTTTAGTAGTGTCCCAAAACAAATTAAATAAAAATATTCTAATCAATGCATAACATCCGAAACACATAATTAAAAATCTTGACATAAAATTGATAAAATAAACACTCCCATCTTTTCTTATATTTAACTTTTTTATGAATATGAATTTCAACTCACTTGATTATCAAATCTTAACTATTACGTACACTATATAGTATAAAAATCATAGTATATTATTATTTTCTTCTTTTTATCTTTTAAATACAAAGTTGTAACTTCAAATGCTTGAACTCCTACATGCTACTCGGATGCATACTTTGAATTAAAGGTATTACTTAATTGGATTCTAGTTTAAAATACAAAAAAGTTTTATTTCAATAAATAAATTGGATATAAGATTATAAGCAAAAATATATTTTATGTGTTTATTTGAAGGATAAAACCAAAATTAAATAAACTATTAATGGAGTTTAGGACTCCTTGAGAACAAATAATCAAAAGAATACTTAATGATTCTTTCTGAGGAAACATAAGACTTATCGATAATTTTTGCGAGAAACTTTTTTATAATATTTAGAATTACTTCCTTTCTCACTTTAGTAAGGAACCAAGCCATAAATGGTGACCATCAAATCTAAAACCCTCATGGGAACCCATTCCCTCTGCTATTTCTGTCCACCATCTACTCAATTAATTCATTAATGCACAGTAAAACACCTGTAAATGTGTCAGTAATTTTTTACTTGCTCTTCACTGTGAATTGCAATAGAATATTCAGCTAGTAGGGAAACAGATGGAGGTCATAAGTTCATATATTGATTATCTTAAACAAATATATTTTTTTTATTTGACCATTTATGAAGCATCTCTGTATGCTATTCTTTATGGGACCAAATCTATAGGTCTCACTTATATAAGGAGTAATATTATTCTGATTTAAAAGTTTGATCTCATTTATCGATTTAAAGATGTGATTTTATTAAAATTATTGAATAAAGAATAAGCTTTAATGTGTTATGGGTCTCACAACCAATTCAAATGTCATAGTGAATCAGGCCAACAAATAAAATTAAATTTTTAAGTCTAAATAGTATTACTCTTATATAATTTATGAAAAGTAGAACACTTAACCCCTAATTTTAATGCCCTCAGAAAACCTTGAAAAAAGAAGGAGAAAAATTAGATTATTTGGAAGATATATTGTTGGAAAAAGAATAGTTTTATATAAATTATTTGAGCAAATTGAGACTTAAATAAAAGTGGGATCCATATCTTAAAATTGGTGGGACCAAATTTAAACGCATTCTCCTCTGTGAGGAGATTAATCTGATATATTTATTTGTCTAAAATCATAAATATTTGAATGAGAAATTATATCTCAAAGTGACCGATTTGAAATGATAAAATAAAGCTAAGATTGGTGTTGTAAAATAAGTTTTGTCCCACATTGGAAGAAAACCAACACTTTATTGAGTTAATAAACTCTTAGTTGACTTTATAGGTTGGGCTCCAAGGGGTACCACACTTTGTGAGCAGAGCGAACACTTATACTACCTTGATTATCACACGCGTCCCACCCGGTCGGGCTCGAACTTGGGTTTAGTTCAAAAATATATAATTTTTTTGGACAAAATTTATTTGGAGCGGTGTAGGTCATGAGTCAAACAATCAGATCAAAATGTGGATCGAAATTAAAAATCCCAACCGAGATTTAAATCTCAATCAAAATTTAAATTTCTGCTCGTTACTTTTTGAATTTGGCATCAAAAGGGGTTTATGTTCATTCCAGAGAGTGTTCATTCCAGAAGGTGATTTTTGTCTGTTCAAATTAAAGAGTGCGTCTTTCAATCTGAACAGTGGCAACCTATGCCTTTTCAGGCAATCTAAACAACCACCAAGGATCTATAAATAGACATTTCTATTGCCATTTCAATTCATTCTATTATGGATTCTAGTTTCAAAATATTTCTTCTCTCTATGTATATTGCTGCATTATTTTTTTGATTCGGTTCAAGTATAAACACAAGTTATGTTCGTTGGAATCTTAAATATTGAAATGCTGTTTCTTCAAGAACGAAAATCTATTTTATCTTGGGAGATAATTGTTCATCACCTTGAGCACCGAGAGGGAGCAAATATGTCTTAAAGAGATTATATTTCACAAGATTCGGATTATCTATTTTGATTTTTTATTAACTGTTCCTGCTGATCTGCTTCTCTGCGAGTCCACTGATTTTGATTTCTATACATTTTGTTTAAATTAATGCATAAGTTAGACTTTATACAATTTAATATAATATAATTATATACATATTTGATATAACAATTGCACCTCATACTTCTTCTACATTAATTATTACCACTATATGTAGAGTTTAGCAACAAAATAAGAAAATAATTGTCTAGACTCGTACCCGCTTGAAAACACACTCCACAATGAAGGTTCAAACCTTTTCTCCGCTTGGATCTGCCCGACTTGGGTGATTTTTTTTTTGTTTTTTGGTTCAATAAATAAAGATATTCAAGTTAACTTATGCACATTTCGATTAATTTATTCTCTAGTACCTTATGGTCTATTTCTAAGAGATTGTCAAAATTTAAAATTAAAATATCTAAATTTACTGCTCATATTTTTACTATTTAAACTATTCCTTATACTTTGACCTTGGTGATTTGAACTTCTGCTAGATGGCTCGCAATATTCTAGCCACCACATGTCCCAAGCCACACTCCTGTGGGATTGGGATGCATGGTCTCAAGTGTCATAGGACATCATGAGGGTCAATTGTAATATTATTTTGGATTTATATTATACAATATTATCTATTTTAAATTATATTCATGTAACAATAAAATTCGCTATAATAAATGTGTAAATCTTACATTTATATATCATTTTACGAAAACATTCATTGGGGCCACCACAAAAAAAAAAAAAAAACAGAGAGGATTGTTTCTGTCAATGTAAAGTATCCTGAAGAGGGTAGATTGACCTTGGGTTGGTAAAAAACTAGAAAGATAGATATGAATGTTTTGGGTGTTTAACTGTATTTAATGAGGGTGAGGTGGTAGGAAAGAAATGGATAGAGCTAAACAGCTTAGGACTTTTATACCATGGGATTCATATGAAAAAGTGTTAACAATGTGACTGTTTTTGACAGCTAACTGACCATTAGCCTGTGATCCTAGGGTGACTTTCTTCACCAGTTCAGTCCTAACTAGCCTATAACCCAGTTTTTCTTTGTGGATTAAGTCACTCTCTCTCTGTCTCCCCTCTATGCCCTTCCGTCTTTATATGTGTACCAGTGTACGTCCCTTTACTTTCTCTATCTCCACCTCTACTTGTGTGCTAAGTCATTAAGAAATAATGGGTAAAAAAAGGCCAGGTTGGTGTTGAAGAGGTCTCCTTTGTCTCCAACTCTCTTCTTTCTCTACTTTCCAACACGGTAAACCCACGCCTATCCATCTCTCTCTCACTCACTCACTCACTCACTCACTCACACACACACGCGCGCGCTCTATATCTATATATATACAACACACACATGTAATGAATTAGTCTTGTATCAAAAACCCTCTCTGATCTTCTCTCCTATTCCCTACAAACATATTACACTAATCACTGCCATCTATCCACTCTGATCATTGGGTACCCTATCATCATTATACACTTGAAAAATAATCAGACCATCTTTTTGGTTTGAACCAGACACGTTTTCATCAACAGCTGAGAATGTATACACTATCAATGGCTGAGCCACCGAACTCGGAGGCTGAGTCAAGTAGCAACTCATTCTCTCCCTCTTGGTCATCATCTGGACAAAACACACCAACCAAACACCCCAAAACAGCAAACGCAGATCCCAAACGGCTCAAAAGAGGTAGAGAGAACTGCACCACCGCGACTACCGCCACCACAAACACAACCAATAATGGCAACACTAAACACCCAGTTTACAGAGGGGTTCGAATGCGAACATGGGGAAAATGGGTCTCAGAGATCCGAGAGCCCAGAAAGAAGTCTCGGATCTGGTTAGGTACATTCTCGACCCCAGAAATGGCGGCGCGTGCCCATGACGTCGCCGCCATATCCATCAAAGGCAAATCTGCGATCCTCAACTTCCCTGAACTCGCCGAGTTACTGCCTCGACCGGCCACGTGCTCGGCACGTGACGTCCAAGCCGCAGCAGCTAAAGCGGCCTCAATGGACCACCTGAACCCCCAGAAGATGTCGTCATCATTGCCGTCGCTGACGTCGTCCTCATCGTCTTCGTCGCTAGTTTCAACCATAACGTCGTCGTCGTCGTCGGACCTGTCGATGGAGCGAGAGACGCCGGAGGAGCTACTGAGTGAGATAGTGGAGTTGCCGAGTCTTGGGACGAGTTATGACTCGATTGAGTCGACAAGAAACGATTTTGTCTTCGTTGACTCGGTGGGGGATGGGTGGGACTATTCAATACCATGGTTGGATAGTGGGGCTTTTTATGAACAGATGGGAATGGCAGAGAGTGTTATGTCAAGCAGTTTTGAGGGCTTGCTATGGCACCATTGATGCTTAGCTAGAATGGTGTGTGTATGCTTAATTACCTTCCTTCCTTCCTTTCTTTTTTATTTTTTATTTTTGGCCTTTTTTGCTTTTGTTTTCTTTGTTTGTGTTTTTTGGACACTTTGTTTTTAAGTTTTACTTTTTCCTTTGTGAAGGTCTAAACTAAATTATATCCCTTTCTTGCCTCTCAAACTTCAAGCAGTGATCTCTCTCTCTCTCTCCATTGATTCTTGTCATATGGTGGTGAGAGGAAAAGGGGAAAGCTAGCATTTGGCTCATACTCATTTTGAAGCAATTAAATGTCTATCTTCAATGATTTTGTGATATGGATGAAGGATGAAAGAGGAAAGAGGAAAGAGGAAAGAGGAAAGTGATCAATAACTTCTTTGTTGGTCCATATAAATTGAAAGCTAATAACCACTCTGTTTCTCTCTCATTAATTCATCTATTTTTATTGGTAAGAGTATTATTTCTCTCTCAATATCCAAGTCTTTCTTTTTGTGTAATGAAGTATTTAAGAACTTAGTTTCACTGTTTGTTTAAATGACAATAAAATACTTTAAAGCCCCAATCATATCTATTTCTCTCTCTCCTTCCTTTTTTTTTTTTCCCATTAGATGAACTACTCATTTTGTTTGACTATATATATGCTTTAATTTATATGGGGTTTCTGATAACAATTTTGGCTCCGAATTTCCAAGACGTTCGTAGACTTCTTAAATCTAATGAATGTGTACAAGCAGCACACATGCATACAAGTGTTCTATATTTATTTACTTCACGGGTATTCTTGAGTATTTATAAAGTCAAAATAAATTGAATTTAATACCGGACTTTTTAGATGTAATTTAGGTTAAATTCGAGCTAATTTATGTTTCTGAATTGTGAGTTGCCCAACACTCCTAACCTTTTCTGGTACCACCGTTTGAATTGCAACCCCAATAAAACTTGTTACAAGGGCTTTGAAGATGGAGGACCACTTTAATCAAACATGAGATTTTGTATGTCGTTTTATTTTATATATGTTCAGTCAGTGGTGATGATGGCGATGGAAAGTTACTGTTTAGCCATATAATGTAGTTGTATATCAAAATCATATAAGCATGGGATTATGCTGCTACTTAGTAAAGGGTAAAGTTAAAGGTAATGGAAAGTTACGGTGTAACTATTCAGTATAGTTTGAAAGCTTATCTGTTTGTCTCTGTTTCAACCACTCAGATGATTAGGGGGCGAAAAGAAAAGAAAAAAAAATGAGTATTCGTTTAAACATATTTTGTTTGAATTAAAAATAAATTATATAGATTGGGGGGAGAAAAAATTCTAGGATGATTAACAGCACATGATTGTGGCATGTGATATCTGCTGAGGAGACACTGTTTTCTATAGATGATATGTCACAAAAAATTCCCCATAGCCCCAATACAAACAAAAACGTGTCACTAGATTTTCCACTGACCGAGAGCTGAAAAGTCATTCATATTCTCTTCTGGGTAAAATTGGGTTTGCCCAAAAGTGAATGGTACTGACTATGAGTCCATTAGACCTCACCCATTCCTTTGCAAAGCATCAAAACAGCTTTGCTCCAGCTAATATCCATGCAGTTACATATACTGACAACCTTGGCTCACTTCTTTTGAATAATGAGACCCATCGAAGAAATCAACCAAATAATTTAATTTAATTATATTTTGTGCTGAATTGTTTATTTTTTAAAAGGTTTAAAATTCTCACAGTCCACTCAGATAGCATTGTGATTCAAAACCTGACGTCTGTTGCTTTGTACCGAAAAAAAAACAGAACTTTTTTGCAATATAGGTTATCTTTTTCTACTTTTTTAAATGATTATTCGTGTATTACTCGATTTGAAGGATTTTACATAAAAAAAAAATTATACTCAATTTTATTAAACACAGGCCCAATTGCCACCTCTATATTCAGTTGGGGATGAAATATGAAATTTTAATCTGTCAAGTTGTAAATTTTATTGGAATAGTTGGTTTATCAAAGTTTGATTAATTTAGCAAGTAATTCTTATGGGTTGAAAGATTAATTCGGGCTCTCTCAAGTTATGAAAACCTTAATCCCCACTTGAATTTAATTTGAACCAATCAATTCAAGCATTGCCTAGATTCAAAATTCTAAATTCAAGTGACATAATTTGATTTGGTTCTAGGTCACAACTCGGACTAAAATTCGGGTATAATTATAGAATTTCGGTACATTTTGTTAGGGTCTAGAAATTAGGTCTAAAAAATACGATTTTTCAATTATATATCTGAATTAAATCATAATTTATTGAAGTTTTCAACTCATTTACCGAATAACTTTATTCGGAGTTATGCACCCAAGTTGTAGCTCTACTACTAATTGGCTAGTTAGTATGGTGGTACCATGTCAATAGATAAGAGAAAACAATTTGTACAAAAAAAAAAAAAAGACCATAAAGAAACCAAATTCCAATAAAACTTGGTGGAATTGTATTAATTTTTTTAAAGGATTAATATTATTTTTTCATAGAAGTCTTCTTGTCTGTTAGAGAGGCTCATTCTTTTAACAGGTGCATCACAACCATGGGCGGAGAACATCTATCCTAACTACCCTAAATGGATGCTAATTTTCTATTAGTAGACCAAAAATCAACATTAATCAATGCACCTTACAGTCCTAAACTTGTTTTCAGTGATTCTATCGGCACACACACACACAAACATATGAAAAATGCTTTAAAAAGGTTATATTGGAGAAGATAATAAGGGATTTGACCAATAGAGATAGGCCATGCAATTACAAATGATTAGGGTTTGTAGGGTTGTTAGGGTTCCTCTAGTCGTTGCAGGGTCTTTGATAGGCTGAAAATGGAGTTTTTTAAGTAGAATTATAGCCCTTTTTAAAGCTGGTCCTCTATACCTAACCCGACCATAATATAAATTAGGGACTGATTGCAATTTTTATTATGTTTTGTACAATTTGAACATGCTTTCGATTTGTTGTATATAGAATGATTTTATGATCAATAGTCTGAATCCGAATATATTATCAAATCCGAACTAGTTTTTATATATGTATGATGAAGCAAATTTAAATTTTAGATGTTATTAGTTACAATTCATCTTTAATCAAATAATTCATGCTGGATAGAAGTTTTACTTTTTAGTAGATTAATTCTAATATGGGCTAAAAAAACTAAAATTTATCGGATATTCATGTCAAAAATAAATTCATATTGGTGGAAATCTGATTTAAATTTAATCTGTTGTCATACCTATTTGCGAGGTGGCACAATACAAACCAGAGGAGCCCAATGGTTGGAAATAGGAAGAAATTGATATGAAGAATGTATGGCTTACCTACCATACTCTTGGTTTATTTTAGTGAAAACATAGATTTTTCTTTAAATTTAAAATGGAGAATGCATAGCTTACCTAACAATATTAATAGATTGTTTAAAACATATATATTTTATAATATCTTGATCGTTTAAATAATTCAAGAATGAAAATAAAATTATTTGACTAATATGAATACCTAGCTAGTTGAGTTTTAAAAACCACAAAGTCATATGGCCCTGAAGTGCTGCTCCACGAGGGGGCCCGAGCAATGACAAATTGGTTTTCATTGTCAGCTCTAATTTGTCATTCATTAGGAAAATGGACAATTTGATCAAGAAAGTTATTAAGTCAATGGTTTCTTATTATTTTAGCGACTAATTTTTGTGTTGCCCTCCTTGAGGTTAGTTTTTTTTTTGTTGGGAACATCCTTGTGGTGAGTTGACAGATCTTGGTCTGACCCTAATGGTAGCTCGAATGGTAAAATAAATGACCTGTAAATTTATATATTTTGAGTTCGAATACTAACAATATCTTTGAATTAGGCCGTGAGAAATTTATCCTCATAATTACTTTAATCTTAACGTGAATGGTTTGTCTTTGATCAAATATTGAAGAGAATTAATCAAAATATATATAAGTTGACCCGAACAACCTTACTGTTGAACCAAAAAAGAAAAGAAAAGATAGAGCATGGTCTACCTCTTATGTGAGCGATAAAAGTTTTTTGCAGTTTATATTCTAAAAAATATCTCAATTTTTATTTTGCACCTAAAAGATTATTTTTCTCATATTGTACCCTAAATATTATAAATTGGTTCTAAAGTGGCCCTCGGGTTAACATCCGTTTTAGATTTCATTAAAAATTGATACACATGTCACCCAAAAATATGAATGGTGAGTTTATATTTTTGTCAAAAAATAACACACGTGAGTGATAAGTGCATCAATTTTTAACAAATTTTGAAATAGATGTTAATTCGAGGGTCACATTGGAACTAAGTTATGACATTCAAGTGTAATACGGGAAAAATAATTTTTCAATGTGTAAAAAAATCGTCGTTCAAAATGCAAAGTACAAAAAGCTCGAGAGATAAAAACAAAGTTTTAATCAATGAAAAGGCACAAATTTATGAAATTAACTTTACGATTGAACCACAACGCATATTTTTAACTCCTATGAAACTAATACTCCGTTTGGTACGATGAAAAAATAAAAGATTAAAAAGTTGAAAAGACGAAAAGTTGAGGAATAAATAAAATATCATGTTTGGTAAAAAAGAAAAATAGGAAGGATAGAAAAGTAAATTAATGAGTTTTCCTTTTAACTCACAAAAATCAAACCCTATAAAATTAAAATGAAAGTAGATGAAAAGTTAATTATTTGTATTAAAATATATTTTATTTGTCTATATATCCTTTAATATATACATATATTATATAAACATTAATTTCATATATAAAATATGTATTTATATTTTTTTAAAAAAATAAAAAAATATTTTTTTCCATCTTACCAAGCACAAAAAAAAAAAAAAATAATTTTTACTTTTCGTTCATCATTTTCCTTGGAGAATAAAAAATGTATGCTTCATATTTTTCTTTCTTTCTACTTTCTACCCTCTTTACTAAATGTTACTCTATCCGTTCCTAAATATATGTCGTTTTATACAATTTTTTTTTGTTTCATAATATCTATAGTTTAATGAAACCAAAACACAATTAATATTTTTTCTTCTAAATTTACTCTTAACTTTTCAATGCATTAGATTAGGCGGAGACTAAATGTCTTTCATATTTCATTCTTTCTCAATACGTATTGAATAAGAGTATTTTAGTTTTGTGTAATTTTTTTTCACTCATATTAT